CTCTCTTCTTCTTTCCTTCCTTTTTTCTTTTATATATATATTTTCCTTCCTCTCTCTCTCTCTCTCTTTCTATGTCTTTGTCTCTTTTTCCACCTTCTTCTTGTTCTATTATAATAATACGATTTGATCGAGCGACGCTTCATTGCCTTCGAGTCTCAAAAGAGTCTTCGCTTCTTCGATTCTTATTACATTTTTTCCGTCTTTTTTATGCGTTATATACTCCTGTTATATACTATTTGTTGTTTTCTCACATCCCTCGATCACGACTGTTCGTTGTCTCTCTTCCCCTCGTCCCCCTCTTTTTTTTCTCTTCTTTATCTTCAGTCGTTCATTATTCGTTCCATTACTCGTTTTCGATTCTTGTTTCTCCATCGCATCTTGTTTTTTATCGCATCTGTAGTCTTGCCCCACTATCTTCTTTATTTTCACTCATTATCTCTCTTCCTCCCTCTTCTATATTTTAGTTGTTGTCGCGTGCTCTTTTTCAATATATCCCCTTTTTTTCTTTTTTTTTTTTTTTTTGTATTATTATTATATTTTGTTATAACTATTCGATTCGTTACACCACGAATTCTTCGATCACGAAGTCGCTTTCTATCGTTCTTTTTTTTTAACGTTCGTTTCTAATACATTGTATATCCTTCTTATCACACTCATAGCATACCAATAAAAATAATAATAATAATAATAATAATAATAAATTGTCGCGAAACCAAAAGCTCTTCGAAAAGCTCGATCTCGTTCTCGATTTCGCGATCCCGCGAAGAATCGAAGCGATCGGCTGCGAGAAATAAATAAAAGAAATATCATCTTTCTCCTCCCCTCCCTTCCCCATTCCCACCCTCCCCCGTTTGGAAGAAACACTCAACCGTGTTGGACAACCGCGTTCCGAAAGTGGGGCGCGAGGGATTTCTCCTCCAAGACGCTTGGTCGAGAGGGGAGGATCCCCTCGGATAGGTGATGGGGAGGGGATAAGCGACCGTTGGGAAATTGGCCGTGCGCGAAATCCTTGGTTATTTACGTTTCTCGAGAGTAGAGGTCGCTGGTAGGACATTTTTTTCTTTTTATTCTTATAGCCATGGACACAGACGACATTTTACACGCACACATTTATACGACACTCGCAATAAGTCGATCCACAGAGCATCTTTTCATCCGTGTTTCGATTAATAATATATCGCGAGATCGAGGAAACTGTGTTCTTTCGCGCGAACACGAGAAGTGTGAGCAAATTGAGAAAGATAGAATGATGAATGTGAGTAGCGTTTTTTTGTTTGCTTGCACTTCTCTCTCACGCTTTCTCTCTCTCTCTCTCTCGAATGAAATTTTCTCCCTCGAGAGCCTCATCTTTTCGATCGCCACTCTGTTTGTTTTCGAAATGTCTCGCCTCGCCGTGTGTACAACGCGCTTTGAAAGTGGACGATGAAAAATTTTGATGTCGAATTCTATTCTCTCTCTCTTTCTCTCTCTAAGGATGGAAAAGATCATTTGAATGATTTTTACTTGTGACAATTATTCGTCGATTATTTTCAGACGATTATCGAAAAGAAAGAATTTTCTTTGAATCTACACGACTTTTTCCATTTTTAAAGGGAAATGGGATGCGAGAACATGTGTAATTATTTTCGAAGTATCGTTATTTATCTTCGAAAAAATCAATGAGATAACACACACACACACACACACACAAGAAGAAGAAAATAGATAGTAAAAAAAACATAATCCAATGTAAACGCAATAAATAAATAAATAAATATATAGAAAAATTTCATGGGAAAATCGGATCCTTTTATCCTCGAATCGAATCATTTAAAAACGTTTCAGTTTTCAGATATAGAATCGATGTTTTAAGATATATATTCGCGTTAAATAGTATACATACATATATCGAGTAATCGCTGAAAAATAAATTTTTGTTTTTATTATCGCGTTTACATCGCGTTGATCTCGCACATGTGATTCTCGTGAACATTTGCACAAGACACGATGGTATGGTTTGTTACTTCGCTGCATCTCTCGAAACTTTACGCCTATGTCTCTATATATATATATATATACACATACACACGTACACATATAGTTTCTTTGTCTCTTTCTTAACAAAAAAAAATATATATATACGAAGAGATTTTACGTCTTGTGTTATTCCCCTTCCCAATCTCGCAATACGATCGACGAAATTCGTGTATTCGTTAACACACGTTCAATGGTACGAAAAATTTTCTCGGAAAATCGAAACGAACGAACAACAAAATTGCATCGAAAAATATTTGAAAGAGATATTTTCAACGAAGAAAGGATATTATCGAACGATTTTTCGCGAATCTTTCGTACTCTCGTCGAGATACGATCGAGGCAGCATGTCTCCAACAATTTCACACGCTCTCTTTTGGCCCTCTCTTGCTCTTTTTTACATGATATATGATCTCTTCCCTATTTTCTGATCTCTTTAATTCTCACATTTTTCATTCCTTGGCAACAGCGTTCCATATTTTTCTTTCTCGGTTGAACTTCCGCTCATCCTCGTCGTCACTTACTTTAACGAAGTAATGTACGTTGAACATTTTTCTTTTTCTTCGCGTGTACGCGCGTTTACGATGTTTCGCTATATTTGTAGAAAAATTGAAGAGATGAAGAGAATTGAGTTTTCTTAAAAATTCAATTAAAACTTACGATTAAAATTAGGAAAACTTTGAACCGTTATAACTTTGAAGATAATGAAGTCACGCCAATAAATGAAAGATCATTAGAAGCGCGGAGTCTTCCTCTTTAAAACATTTTTCGATTTATCTTAATATGACTTTCAGTTCCCGAGATATTATCGCGCGAAGAAAAGATAATTTTTAACCATTTAATTTTAAATTCTATTAAACATTAGGAAAACTTTGAACCGCTATAATTTCGAAGATAGCGGCTTCCGGTCAACGAATGAGAGATCGTTAGAAGCGCAGAATCTTCCTCTTTAAAACGCTTCTTGATTTATACCGATATGACTTTCGATTTCCAAGATATCGTCGTGTAAAGGAAACGGTAATTTTTAATCGTCTCTACTATTCCCATCCTTGACGTTTACTCGAATCTCGCATCTCGTTTAACCGATCCAAACTCCAGATTCCTGGAAAAACGCAATTCCAGAAAAAAATATAGGTCACTGGGTCGCGAGTTCATTCGTAATTTCTGCGCTATATTCGAACAGCATGAAGGCTTCGAGTCTTTATATCTCGGCAACCGATTGAGATATCGGGATAAAACAAAAAGCGATTTCAAAAGCGCGGCTTCCTCTATCTCCCGAGTGGATTTTCGTGACACAATTTTTTATCTTCTTTTCACTTTTTCTTTTTTACGCGAAAAGAGTTTCAAGTTTCACTCGTGATTTTCGATTGCAATGGTCCATTATAATTTGTTATAAAGAATCATCCCTTCAATTTTTTAAAACATCAACTATCTACTCGATGTCTAATTGACGTTGGTTAAAAAATTTTGAACTAATTTCTCATCTATTTCGATTCGATCCAATGAAAAATCGGACGCTAACGATTTACTTTTTATTTAAAGCTCTTCTAAAATCGTGGATAATAGAGGCGGTTCGTAAATTGGCGAGCGTTCGTAAATTCGTAAACAGAAAATCAGACAACAATCCAAGCGTCTATCAGATCTTAATCTTAGTCGATCTTAAAATAATTCCCTCCCCTAATAAGAAAAGAAAAGATCGCGGATAAATCCACGTACGTATCCTCTCGATAAAAATTCTCATCGTATCTCATCACGCCAATAGAGAAACTAAATAGAGAAAAAGAAAAGTAGGGGAAAAAAAGATGCGAGAAAAAAGATATCAAACCACGTCCTCCCCACGTCGTTCCCTTCGAGAAAAAAACAAGAGAAAACAAGGAAATAGGAGTAAAAGAATAATAAAGAAAGAAAGAAAGAAAGAAAGAAGAAAAAAAAAAGAAGAAAAGCGATGATAAGGGAAAGAACAAAACACGTTGTTACACACACACACACATACACACACGATTAGTAAGAATTTGGTTGGTGGAAACGTTGGTGAGTAAGTCTCTTTGTTTGGTGTCTGTGATGTTGCAGCGGCTCCCAGCGGTGCTCAGCAGGATAGGGATAATATTGGCCAGCCCCTTGGTAAGACCCCCCATAGCATTAGGGCGCGGTCACGACTTCGCGCGTATTTTTTTTTTCTCTCCGTCAATCTCTCTCTCTCTCTCTCTCTCTCTCTCTCTCTCGACTCGATCTGATCTCGAAAATAATTGGTCGAAGATAATTAATCGAAAAGGAATTGCACGCGGACAATGGCAACCTTTCTTTTTCTCCTTTTCTCTGTTTCTCTGCTCTTACTTGTTTTTTTCGAGATTTTTGCCGGGATTCGCCGAAAAAACGAAACGAAACGAAACGAAACGAGAAGTGGCGTGCACGTGCAAGGTCTTAACCGCGTCCTGACGAATCACACGGACCCACATGTACGTAAACACACCACACACACACACACATACACACACGCCTCTCTAACACACGGCTAACGTACACGCAGCTCGTTCTTTTCTGCGCATCTCGAGAAGAAAATCTTTCTCCTTTCTCCTCTTTCTCCCCTTTGTAATGCGCTCGTAAATCGTGGGAAAGCTGCGTCGAGCAGAGACGCGATAATTTTCGAATTTTATTCCATTCATTCAATTCTTTTTAAAACGATGTATCGGAGCAGAAGATTCTCGAGAGTCGCGATATTGTGCAAAGAATACTCGCAATTCTCGAGCGTACTTTTTTTTTTTTTAATATATATATATATGTATATTTAATTACAGATAGATGGATAGATAGATAGATAAAATGTTCGTCAAGGAACAACTCTCTCTCTCTCTCTCTCTCTCTCTCTCTCTCTCTCTC